GCAGCGCCACGTATACCAAAGGCAGCGCCACATCAGCATGCCACGTAGACCAGAGGCAGCACCACGTATACCAGAGGCAGCGCCACATCAGCATGAGCTGGCGCACTGAAGAAGCGCCAGCATGCTGCCTCCACCTCATGCCGTCGTCCACAACGCTTGTGCACAGCCAGCATGAACCCAGCGTCGTGTCAAAGTCGAGCCAGCGTCAAAGCAGCACAGCAAGACTGCATGCTCGACTCTCTCGAGGCCAGCCTTAAGTAACAGATGTCGAGGCTGTCCGGCCTCGGTCCTCTTTCCTCAGTCGTCCAGATTGACTCACATCTGAAGGCCCGGATGATACAGATGCAGACTTCTCCCTTGGACCTGATGTCGTCAGGGTATCTGCATACAAACAAATGTGTGTGCTTGACCAGCGGCCTGGGCTAGGTACCTTTGGACTTCGACTGTTGGGTGGACCGACAGTTGACTGAAGTCAACTGTCACACGCCCAGGCCCTGAATTCGTGTAGGGCCTTTTTTGCCCTTGTTCGACCTGGGCTGAGGCGGCTAGGTAGACCCTCTGAGGCCCTCAGTTTCCACGAGACATATGGCATGGGTTATTGCATTCCTGGCGACCCGGTTTTCGAGTTCCATGGCAGAAAATTCATTAATTCTCGTTAACCCACGTTCATATGCAGCAACAATATCAGGAGAAGTGGGTAGGAGTTCTTTCCTACTAAACCATCTGGCTTCAGATGGGGGTTGGGACTTAAACTTTACCTTGTACGGCTTCTGAGGTAGTCCTCGTGTTCCAATATCCTTTCAACTTCAAAGCCTCCATTCATAGAGGGTGGAAATGGAGATGGTCTATGCGGAAAGTTATCAATTTCTACATAGGGTAGCAGTTTAGACGCGTGAAAGACAGGGTATGTCCTTAGATGTCGAGGTACATCTATATGATAGGAAGGTCCATCTTCTCCTCCAACTACTTTGAAAACTTCCGAGGGCCCATAGTAGACAGGTAGCAGTTTCTGAGACACATTTTCTTCCAAGGAAAACTCTTTAGACTTAACCTAGACAAAGTCTCCTTCTTGGAGTTGTGAAGGACAGCGATGTTTATTAGCTTGTTCAATCATTTGCAAGTGGGCTTTCTGTATGTTTTCCTTCACATTCTTAATGTCTTCTTCATACAGAACTGCAAATTCACGCATACCTGGGGGTAGCCTTTGAACCTGGTCCCGTGTTAATGCATCAATGGGACGCCTAGGCTTCCATCCTTTATGAAGTGCGTTAGGTGCTCTTCCTGTAACAGTATGTATACTATTATTGTAAGCACTGGCAATTTAAGGTAAGTTCTCATCCCAATCGATTTGGTCAGGACGGACATACATTCGCAAAAGTTGTTGGCAAAGACGATTCATTTGCTCAGTCTGGCCATTCGTTTCAGGATGTCTGCCTGACGACATGGTCAATCTTGTTCCATAGACTTCCATCAACTTTTGCCATTGTAGACTGGTGAACCGAACRTCTCTATCTGACACGATGGTTTTGGGAAATCCATAATCAGAGACCCATCGTATTTGAAACTTTTGAATGGCGAGTTCGGTTATAGCTTCAGCTGGCAAAGGAATGAACATAGCATACTTAGAGAATTTATCGACAATGACCATTACCTGACTGTTGCCATTTCGACTTTTAGTGAGACTCATAAAGTCAATGGAAATGGACTCACCTGGCTCACTTGGAATTGGCAGCGGTTTTAATAGTCCCGTCGGATTCTCATGTGAGGGTTTGTTTCTCTGACAGACAAGATAAGTCCGCACATACGTTAGTACATCTTCCTTCATTCCTTTCGATTCAAAGCGTTCATGTACATCGGCATACGTCTTCTTAAAACCAAAGTGACCTTCCGCATCATGGCCTTCCCAGATGATTAAACTCTTAATTGATTCCAAGTGAGGAACACACAATCGTTCTTTGGTTTTATCCAGCAAGAAGAGTAGGTCATCAGTCATTCGATATTCCGGAAATAACTCTGGGTTCTTTCGTAGAGTTTCAATGATAGGACTCCAAATAGGATCACTCCCATAACCCTGGCGAATCTGTTATTTCAGTTCATTTTCGATATCGAGATAGGAGACAATGGTTCCAAAGAAATCTGCACGCCTGGACAAACACGTCCGCAACCACGTTAGACTTGCCTTTGATGGTTTTCACCTCAAAGTCAAATGTGTCAAGGAAAGCGGACCACCTTACCAAGTTGTCGGAGAGTTTCGGATGAGTCTTGATCCACTTCAAAGTAGAGTGATCAGAGTAGACAGTGAAATGCCGCCCTTACAAGTAGTGCTTCCAGGTATCTAGTGCAGGAACTAAGGCATACAGTTCCCTTTCATAGGTGGAGTTGGCCACTTTCTCTGATGGAAGTCTTCTGGACATAAATTCAATAGGTCTATATCCTTACCGTCGTCATGCTGTAGCACAACCCCAATCCCATACCGACTTGCGTGAGTCGTGACGATGAAAGGAAGCGAAGGGTCAGCAATCTTTATGACAGGGTAGTGGGTCAAAACATGCTTTACTTTTCTGAACGCAAACTCACAATCTTTGTCCCACAACCAAGGTTTTTCCTTTTTCAGTAATCTTCTCATAGGAGCAGCTATCAAAGAGAAGTTTTTGACGAACTTCCTATACTAGCTAGCAAGTCCTGTGAAAGATCTCAGTTCAGTTATAATCTTAGGTTGTGGTCAATCTCTGATTGTTGTAATCTTCTTTTCTTCAGGCCTTAGTCCTTTCTCGATCACTATATACCCTAAGTACAAGACTTCAGGCTTAGCGAGCTCAGACTTCTTCGGATTCAGTTTGAAGTTGCCCTCACGCAGCTTCTGCAATACCATTCGTAGATGTTTCTCGTGGTCTTCCAGTGTCTTACTGTACACTAGAATATCATCGAGATAGACTACTACGAATTGATTGAGCCATTGTCGAAACTGCTCATTCATGGACCTTTGGAAGGTCGCAGGTGCATTGGTCAAACCGAATGGCATAACCGCAAACTCGTAGTGACCATACCTGATTCGGAATGTCGTCTTATGTTGATCCTCAGAAGCCACCTCGATCTGGTGGTACCAGGACTTGAGATGAATCTTGCTAAAGTATTTACACCCCTGCAACTGATCCAATAAATCGTCAATTCGCGGAAGAGGTTCCACATTTTTCACAATGACGGAGTTCAGCATGCGATAGTCAATACATAGACGAAGTTCACCTTCCTTTTTAGGCACGAATAAGACAGGCGTACCAACTGATCCAATAGAT